GCCCTGCCCGGTCTCCCCTCCCTCCGCCAACGGAGCTGCCGCAACTTCGCGCGCTCCTCCTCGACCACCGCTGCACGGAACCCACCGCCCAAAAGACTTGCTTAGGCCCGCACGGTACCGCCGCCTGACAATGCCGACTCGTGGCGCTCTTTATAATGCCGGAGCCGGGGCGGCCACCTCGCAACAAGAGGCATGCTCACTGGCTGTGCCCGTCCGTCACTCAACCCTGCGCCGGCGTCCTATTGGCTACGTCGGCGCGCGCACGCTAGATCCGGGCGGGCTTTGTCCTCATTTTAGAACCCGCGCGAGCCTGGGCCCTGCGGAGCGTTGCCTGACTGAACGACGTTCCTGCCCTAGGCTGAGAGGCCCCGGGCATACCTTCCGCCCTGTTAGGCCGCAGTCTCTCTCCTTCCGGCGCCCCCAATCCCAGCATTGACAGTCTCGGCCGCTCCATTTCCCCAAAGAGGGGAGTAGGTCCGAACAAGTCTCGCAAACCAAGATCGCCCGGCTGGAAGCGGCAGAACCCGGGCTGCCGAGCTGGGGCGCGTAGGGTCCCCCACAGTCCTCGGCTCGGAGGGATGGCGACGCAGCTCGCCCTCCCCTTGACCTTGGTGCCCTCGGAGCCCCGCGCTCCCGCCCTTCCTGCTGCCCCCCGCAGCGGGGAGCCGCGGGCTGGGGACGAGTCCTGCAGAGACCTGGCGCCTACCATGCTGACCCGGATGTGGCGAGAGAAACGGTAGAACCATGGTGTTCCCCAATCAGGCCGCCCCACACCACCTTGACGATTAGCATCGTGTTTATACTTTGGATTACTTAAAATTTTTCATTTACATTAGTTCACTCGTTTTTGCTGAAATTTAATTTTCCACTAACATTTTCAAAGTCATGATGTTGGGGAGTGGGGTAGTTAGTTCTCTTTTTCTAATATACAAAAACCCTTAATATTACCTCCTTGACAACCAAATTTAAAAGGCCTGCATAACCCCGTGATTCCTTTTAATCATATGGGTGAAGGGTCCCAAATGGACCAAGATCACAACCTCTGAAGCCCGGGAATCACCAGTAGCAACAGAACACAGGTAGCTGACATTCACCCGCTGGATTCCTGCGGCCAGGTCCAGTGTGGCGGGCCAGGCCTGCTGTTTTCTGATCTGATCTCCTAACAGCCCTGTGAAAGGTGGTACCATCCTCAATTTATAAATGGGAACACTGACACCCAAAGCCTTGGGCCACGTTTACTCCCCAGTCCAGCCAGCCAATGAGTTGCCATGAGAATGGAAAATGTGACAATCTTACATTTGGAAAAAATACACGACATTCCTCCCAAGGTATCAATCAACTAGAGCTGGGCCCCCACCCCCAGATGAGCAAAGGCCCTCTGGTTCACCCAAGGCCCACCTGACCACTTCAGACTTGGTTCCATAACTGGAACTCACATATCTCCATAAAACCTTGGTCATATACTGCTCTGGATTACAGTGAAATCCAGAACAAACACCACGCCATCTCCACCTAAGCCCTCACCCACCCACAGACCTAAGGGCCAGGGATGTGACTCACAGGAGACGATGGGTGCAGCTACCCAAGCAATGAAGATAATTCAGGCGATTAAGTTCAAATAGTCTAAATGCAGCCACAGGGCATAACTACTGGGGACACAAATTCACTTAATCTGCCCTTGTCCACCTGGATTCTCTTAGTACAACCTGGGAAACACTCTCAACAACATGTCAAGTCTAAGGATAACAACATTCAGACCATCACAACCTGGGAAACACTCTCAACATGTCAAGTCTAAGGATAACAACATTCAGACCATGCTTCAAAGTTTGCAAAATGTTTTCACCAACACGGCTTTATTGGAGATTCAAAATAATTTTGTGTGTACTTATTCATAATTTATAGAGGAAAATGCTGAAATCACACATCTAAAACTGTGGCCACAAAGCCAGCATTTCCAACTCCGTATTGTTCCAGGGCTCCGGGATACTGTAGGCCAAGGAGTCTCTGAGCTCCTGAGTTCCTTGGTCTGAATTAGATCTTGTGTCAGATTTAATTCTGCTGCTCAAATGAAGCAATGCTTAGAAAATACTTTACAAACTATAAAGAACTGCAGACCAGTGGGGATCAGTCTTCGCCCAGAATGCCTTTATATTGCATCCGAGGGTATTTCTTTTTTTTTTTTCTTTTTTTTTTAAATATATTTTATTGATTTTTTACAGATAGGAAGGGAGAGGGATAGAGAGTTAGAAACATAGATGAGAGAGAAACATCGATCAGCTGCCTCCTGCACACTCCCCACTGGGGATGGGCCCGCAACCAAGGTACATGCCCTTGACCGGAATCGAACCTGGGACCCTTGAGTCTGCAGGCTGGTGCTCTATCCACTGAGCCAAACCGGTTAGGGCCCAAGGGTATTTCTGACAGAGGCAGAGAACTGGGATGTTGGAAGCAGCAGAAAGTCCCTTTGACACAAGGATCTCCACTTTTATTATTGGGTCCCAGCTATAGAACTAGAGTAGAGGATTTCTTCCATGACAGTGAGGTTCTCAAATCAACAAGGAGCCCAGGCTGTCAGGCAATATATGTATAAAAATGTGTACAATCATCAGTCTAGAATAAAGAGGACAGGCACAAAGTGCATTTTCAAAGTTTTTAAAATTATATGAATTCATTTTTCTCACTTTTTATTTTTATTTATTTATTTATTTATTGGCTGAGCCTGCAAAGTGGAAATTGCAGGAGTTAACTACAAATATGAGGTGACTGCAGTAGCCAACTCCCACGCAAGCCACTGCCCACTCAGCTCCCTGAGCTCCAGCTCCTCCACTTCAGGGCTAACTCTGGCTCCAGCCAGAGGAAACTTTTCACAACGCAAGTCAGATCTTGTCACACTGTGTGAAAACCCTGGCTGGCTTCCCACCACTCTGAGAATGAAATCCTAACCCTGAATACGGGTGGGGTGAGAGAGCCAGTTAGGGGTCACAGAAATCCATGCCCCGCCCAAATAGACCTCCTTGCTGTGTGGTCTGTGAGTGGAAGGGTCACTTCTGCGCCTGGGCATAGAGGCCAGGGCCTCCCCCAGACCTCCCTTCCCCTGGAGACCACATGTTCTGATGGTAGAGCTACATTATGGAGAGCTGTTTAACCCATGTCACACTTGCCATGAGCAAGAAAGGAATCTGTACTGTCAAGCTACTAAGCCTGGGGGTATATCTCTAGTTGTAGCCCAGCCAAGCCTAACCACTCCACTGGACTTATGAGGCCTGGCATGAGCCATCCCAGCCACACCTTATGCCCACTCTTCACTCTGGCTGTGCTGATTTATTTCCCAGAACTCACCTGCACCCTTCTGGAGGTACCTTTGCACCTGCTGTTCCCTCTACCTGGAATACTCTTCCTCAAGTTTCACCTGCCTACTCTACATATATGTGTGGGTTGAACTGTGTCCCTTCCAAAAATATGTTCAAGTCCTAACCCCTGGTACCTATGCATATGACCTTATTTGAAAAAAGGATCTTTGCAGATGTAATCAAGTTAAGATGAGGTCAAACGGGAGTTGGTGGGCCCTTAGACTGGTGCCTTATAAGAAAAAAAGATACCCATAGCCACACACAAGGAAAATGATGTGTAATGACAGAGGCAGAGGTTGGAGTGATGCGTCCACATGTCTTGGTCAATTCGGGCTGCTAGTACAGATTACCATAGACCGGGTAACTTAAACAACAAACATTTCTTTTTTTCTCACAGTTCTAGAGGGTGGGAAGTCCAAGATCAAGGCACTGGCAGATCTGGTGTCTGGTGAGAAC